GGTCCCTTTATGTTTTGACATTATTATTCAGTAAAATCTTTGGTTTAGGTGGACTTTAGTATCATGAAAGTTTAGAAATAAATAAATATTAGTGTATTTATTGAAAAAAAAAAAAAAATGAATTACCTAATTCAATTTGAATTATTAGTAAAAATAAGATAATCTTACACAAAGACGGGGACGCAACAACCACATTTACAATGCGATTATAAATATAGTTTTTATATCAAATATTCATTAGATTTTTGTTAATTGATTAAACAAAACATTTTGGTCAAGTAATAATTTTAAATATATTTTTTTGGTCTTTTTAAATTCATGTGTTCTGTCGTTAAACGACTATAAGAACAAAAAGACCAAAAAAAACACATTTAGCACGAGATTACGAATACAATTTTTATACCAATAATTAAGTACACCACTAGCTATAAAATAAATAAAAACCATTAAATAGCAAGTCATCTAAATATAGTTTTTAGATCATTAAAATCAAGCGTTTCCGCGCAGATAAATATTACTTAATAAAACCAACAAAAACAATCATTTAACACGAGATTCCAAATACAATTTTTATACCAAAGATTCAATAAACAAGTATCAATAAAAAAAATAATAAATTATCAAATAGCAAGATCTCTAATTAAATTTTTTAGGTTTTTAAAAATGGCGCGATTCCGCGGATAAACCTTACTTTATCAAAATGATAAAAACCAATATTTAGCATGAAAATCCAGGTATAATTTTTAGTATGAATGATTCAATACATTGGCATAATTCAAAAAAATAATAAATCATTAAATAGCAAGACCTCCAAATACGTTTTTTAGGTCTTTAAAATGGCGCGATTCCGCGGAAAAACCTTACTTTATCAAAATGACAAAAACCAATATTTAGCACGAAAATCCAGGTATAATTTTTAGTATGAATGATTCAATACATTAGTATAATTCAAAAAAATAATAAATCATTACATAGCAAGACCTCCAAATACGTTTTTTAGGTCTTTAAAATTCATTAAATACACTAATATTTATTTATTTCTAAACTTTCATGATAATAAAGTCCACCTAAACCAAAGATTTTGCCGAATAACAATGTCAAAACATAAAGGGACCGCCGCGCGGTTTGTCTGCTAGCTTCAGCCTCATTGCCTCATGCCCTTTGAAGATCTATAAAAACTGCCAATATTAGATAGTTTTTATCAAATTTATATTTCCAATCATATAAAAGACACTGGATAGCTGATTCACAGTTATGTTTGTTTCTGAAGCCCGATTGTACTCTAGTAATAAGTTTATTTTGTTCTAAAAAATTAACAATTTGTTCATAAACGACCTTCTCAATGATTTTTTCGATACAACTTAACATACTAATAGGCCTTAAATCTGTAGCTTTATTTGCGTTTTTTGTCTTTAGAACAGAGCACTACCATAGCAATTTTTAGAGCATTAGGTATTTTTGAAATTTCTAATGAAGAATTTATCAAATTTAAGAGGTTGGGAAAACAGTTTTTTTAAAATATAAATGTTAATGTCATCTATGCTACTTTCATTTTTCATTGCAAAAAGAATGTCTCTTAAAGAATCCACCATACATAATTGAAATTTTCCAAGAAAATGTCCATTGTGTCTGTCTAAAATTTGATAATCTGGTATTGCATGATCAATCATACTAGCAATCAATTGGATAGTGTCTAAGTAAAATTTATTAAGAGCATTTGGCATGTCAAAAATATTTTTTATAATAACATTATTTTCTAGTTCAATGGTATTTCAATGGTCGTACACAGTTTGTAAGTAATGGAAATACCTCAAGTAAAATGACTGATCTACAATATGGTGTACCCCAGGGGTAAATTCTTGGACCAACGTTATTCCTGATCTATATAAACTCCATAGCTCAGCTACCATCAGCTGGTTATTTGCAACTTTATGCTGACGACGCTTGTCTCATCTATTTTGGAAAAGATACAGAAGAAGTAAAGTATATTATAGAGCAAGATCTAATTCAAATTCTTGAGTGGTTAAAGTTTCATAAATTAACTCTGAATACTAAAAAGTCAAGTTTTTTAGTGATATCAAAAAAGCCTGAATGGAACCCATTCCAAATATAGATAATGAACAGTTGACTAGGACAGAATGCATTAAATATCTTGGCTTATACATAGATTCCAAGCTCAACTGGGAACATCATATTGCTCAATTGTGTAAAAAAATTTGTCTTGCCATTGGAGTATTAGGACGTTTTGCCTGCTACCTTCCAGCTGACTTAAGGAAGACTCTGTATCATTCACTAATTCATTCACATCTATCATATTTAACTCTTATTTGGAGCAACACTTCCCAAAATAGACTAAAACCCTTACAAATTCTACAGAATAGAGCAATCAGAAAAACTTTTCAACTTCCTTTTTGTCATCCTACTGATCTTTTGTATTGTCCAAATAATATTTTAGACATTCAGTCCTTCTCTAAGTATCAGATGCATTTTTATTCATAACCTATCTCTGAATAATATAAACTCATCCATACAACTGACTATTTCCTATGATCTCCATAGATATAATACTTGGAATAATCACTGCTTCAGAACCACAGCCATAACAACATGCTTTGGTGACCAAAGCATACTATCTTATGGTCTAAGACAAAAAGCTCACTTAGTTGATATCTTCATGTTTAAATAGGGTTTAAGGAATAGTGTGATATTAAATTACTGTATTTTTTTTATTATTAGTTATTTTGTAGTAGTATTGTTATTATTATAATAACTAAGCAGGTACCGAATTCTTCTTCTGTGATATATTATAAAATTTGTACCTTGTAAGACCCACATAGTCTTAAGCTCTGGGTCTAAATATACCAAATTGTATTCTTTTTTATTAATAAACTTGATGGAACCTTAGTATGTGATGTCTATGGCAGCGGCGAGATTTTTAATCAGTAGGTACACGATACAACCGACTATAACAAAAAATTAATAAGTACCATAAAAAGTATAAATTTCTAGTCTATTCAGCAAAATACCTAAAATGCGTAACTAAAAACGTTGCATTTAATTATATTTTTATACTTAACCCGACCGTACGTTACGCCTATGGTAGCGACGAGAACATACAAAATTCTTTACAATTTTTATAAAAAAAAATGCAAGATCCTTTTTTGCTTTACTCTTTTATTTATTACGTTTTCTCAAAAAAATCTATTTTAATACCATAAAAAGTAATTCATTTCTATTTACACAAATGTAACCAACAAATTACCTAAAACGCGTAACTAAAAACGTTACATTTCCGTTATATTTTTATACCTAACCCGACCGTACGTTACGCCTATGGTAGCGACGAGAACATACAAATTTTTACAATTTAACTATGTTCCCATTTTTATAAAAAAAAAAATGCGAGATCCTTTTTTGCTTTATTATTCTGCTTATTTACTATTTATTTGGTGCGTTTTCCCAAAAAAATCTATTTTAATACCATATAAATTAATTCATTTCTATTTATACAAATGTAACCAACAAATTACCGAAAGCGCGTAACAAAAAACGTTACATTTCCGTTATATTTTTATACCTAACCCGACCGTACGTTACGCCTATGGCAGCGACGTGCACCAACTCTCGTGCTATCACATTGATGATACCTCCTACTTCTGCTATGTTTCTGCTATCCTGATACTCGCGCGCCCAAATCCAATCTCAACCAAGGGAAATAAGGAACTAAAAAAATTGTGGATAATTTCGCATATTATTTTTGGCTATTTTATTTTTTTAGTAACATTTTTATAAGTAATTAGGAAACAATTCATTAGAAAGTTTAATGAAATTTGAATAAATTAAAAGGGAAGTATCCTGCTGGTGATGGTAGGTACTAAGCAAGTAGGTACCAACCTATATTCCTAAATACTTTTAATTATAATTATTTTAACTTAACTGTTATAATCCTAAAAGGTTTTTAATTTGTTTACCTCTGTAGGTAGGTAAGTACTTAGAAATTCAATTGTATCATAATATAAAAAAAAATGTGATTTATAGCTAAAAAAAAAAAAAAAATGGGAAACGAATAAGAAACGAACTCTAGTTATAAAAAAAACAACGTTGCTATTAAATCACGTTTACAACTCGTTATAAAAATAATTCCATATAAGTGGGACAAAGATTTCAATGTTTAATTTATGTTTGCTTGACTTCAAACATTGAGAAGTATAAGAACGAGCAATAAAACAGAATACATTCATTATGCACATAATTAAACAGTTAATCTAATCTCGTTAAATCTTCAAAATATATTGTAATCTTCATACAACAAATGTCACCAACGCGAACTTCCTTCATTCCACTCAAAAGCTGACGACAACGAAATTCGTTCCCCCACGTTTGTGATATTAACAGCTTGGCAACGTTGCGAAAATGGGTTTATAAGGTTTTAAATAAAAATCTAATGGTAATAAATAATAATTAAAGAACTGTCAATGTTTTAGAAAATGATTTTCCCTAAGGATTCGCGAGGAAAGTGTCAAGTTTTTAGTGCACGCTGAAGGGGAAGGTTGGAATGCAAAATGTTGCAATGTGTATTTCAGATTGGTAGAAATAAAAGGACATAAACGTGATCGATCCCTGAGAACAGCTCTGGGAGGTGGTTTTCATACAAAATATTGAAAATATGCATACACCACATTCTCTCACAAATTTAAGGACAATACTATTTATACATTTACAAGAATCATGTTTGTGGTAGTCAAATTGTATTTTTTTAATCAAATCTAGCTTAAACATGGCGACGTAAATACTAAGCTGATAATTAAAACGAATTTTAAGATATAAAAAAAATAGTAACAACAGGAAGGTTTTGCAAAGGGGCTGAACCTTCCTCAAGAATTTTTGCATTGACAGCTGTCACCTGCGAGTTAATTCTCTTAAAAATTGATATGACCAAACCTTCTGTACTTTCATTTAATGTAAAACAGAAATCGAGACCATTTTCTTTCATAACTTACCTTTACAGATGCTAGTTGGTCCTTATAGTTGTACTCAGGGCAGTAGTCTTCATTCGATTCGGGTAAAATCACAGATATCCTTATTGTTTTGCACAGTTTTTTAATCACTTTTTCACTCACTTTCTGCGGTTCTAGTGTATTCAGTGCCACACGTTTAATTTCTGACATAGTTCATTACAAATTTTCATTAAAACAACACAACCCGGTTTCGCTCCAACATGTTTAAAATGCACTACACTCAAACAAGCAGACGAATAGAAAATTAAATGGTCTGCGCATCGTTTTGCGCATTGCATGGCTTTTGAATGAATACAGCAGGGATTGGATGAATTGGTGCACTTCTGAGACACGCGATTAAATATCCCACCGACAGATAGCGCTATAGTAAAAGATTATATATTTAGCGGTAACTATAATATCAATCCTCAAAATTAGAAAATTAGTTTACAGATGGCGGTAGTAGTAGCAATTTTAAATGTTTAATTTTATCAGAGCTGGGGCACCCAAGAGGACAGAGGGGTAATAATAACCATAATAAATAATTTAAAAAGATACAAGATACAAAAGATACAAAAAAAGATACGAGTAATATAAAGAAAATTACGACTTTTCTGAAGAAAATTGGTGCTAATTTTACTCTTCAAGCCTAGATATAATATTTAAATTTGTAAAACTGTTCAAATTAACTCCAAAATTGGATTCGTACATTTTTTTAAAACAAATCTTCATTTATTTATCTTGTTTTTATTTTATTTATTGGATTTCATTTTGTTTAACATCTTTATATGTAATAAATATCGTATTATTCTAGAAAAAAAATGGTGCTTTTAAGTTTTTTACTATATTCCACTCAACTGCATACCCTTATTCTGTTATGATTTTATCTTTAATAAGATACGTCACTGGTATCGACAGACTTTTAGTTCCGTGTAACAGCAGGGTTGCCAGACGAGATCTAGGATTTCAGTCTGTCTTCTTTCAATCTGCATAAAATATCTTCTTTCTCTTTTCCAATAAATGGGACTAAACCACAGGACTAAACAAATGATACGTTAAGAATGAAATGCTTCATTTGTTGTTTCTTTTATCTAAGGTTAGTCTGGTCAATTTTTTACTCAAACGAGCATGGCTGGAACAGGAACGAATTATACTTTTAGACATTACGCACTTTATAAAGTTTTTAACACCCAACAATAATTCAAAAACAAATAAAAATCTAATAAAATACAAAAATAACACCAGAACGATGTACTATGAAATTGACAAATTGTACTATCAGTACCTATCCCACTTTGCGACTATACATGTATCCCCAGAGTTGCCATATCAATGGTATAGACACTATGCACAATTTAATTTTGCACATTTTGTAAACAAGATTCAGAGACGGTTTAAGAACATTTTGTGCAACAATTATAGAATAGTGCATCGGAAAATAATTTACAGGTATAATTTAGAACTCAATCGAAATCAAAGCTCAAAAAAAAGCAAGCCAATAAAAAACCGACGCCAAAACAAAGTTTACAACACAAAAAAACAAAGCTGAACATGAACATAATGACTGAACGAAGCAGCCTGGAATTTGTTTACTGTGATTTAGGACAACCTCTTCTTGTCATTTACATGTGTAAGAGTGGAAGGTTGAATCATGCACAATTTCTACATCTCCATGGATGCGCACGTGGTACCTTATCATTTTACCATCTTTACTTCTTTGGTCTGTATCAATTTTGAAATCGAAGCTGTTTTCATAAAACACTCACTCTAGCAGTTGATTTTTTATCAATTTTTTTTTCTTTGTGTGATTACACGTTAAATACCAACGAGCCCAGGTCTGAGGATTTACTTACTTGGTTTATTATTGGTTTATTATTTTGGGAGTGAGGTTTATAGCAAATTCGACCTGTCTAAGCTTCTGAGCTGCTAATAAATAATAAATCTGACTTAAGATAGATAGCGTTTCTACCAATGGTAAATCGTTTTTAAATAATATTTTAAGTTACTGCTTAATATATTTTTTACAAATATAATATATTTTATAAATCTAATAAAATCAAAGAATAATAATAAAATCAAAGAAATTATAGAAAATTTCCCGTTTTCCTTATCGATTGCATATTTTCCTCAGATTTGGGAAAATTTCCCTATCAATGGTAATACTGAAATTCGATTTTCCTTATCAGAAAAATTTTCCGACCCCAAAATGCACTTATACATTCGGATTATTCAAGAAAATATGTTTTTTGGACTAATGACGACGTATGTTTTCATACATTTGATGGACTTGTGTGGAAAAATCGGACAAATTCTCGATTTTTCCTTAGAACATTGCGCCCTTATTTAAGCCCTTTAGCACTTTCAACATTAAAGCCTTTGGTGTTCCGAAGCCTAGTTCTATTAATTAATCATAGAGTGAGAACGACTTTTTGCCTAATCTAACCTTTATAACTTTCAAGTACTGTCAAGAGTTTAGTTATTGGCCGTATCTGAACGACCACGAGCATGTCCTGATTATATAACATTTTGATTTTGGTCTTCTTTGGTCATGTGCAGCGTCATTGGTCACTATTCGTCGGTGCTCGTAATTTTAATGCTCGTAGCTTTTCGTCACAGATGACCCTTTCGGTTTTTTCATCATTTTGTCGGCAGTAGATGCTTTCTTCTTGTTTCTCTCTTCTCTCTTCAAGTTAGTTTCTTCAAGAACTTTCTTTATCGGTGTGGATGTAAAGATTTCAGATCGTTTCTTTATACACATCCTCGTTTTCTTTTTGGAATTATGTGAACCTTTGTTAGTGGTGTTAAATCCGAAAAAGACACATTAGCTTTTGATGTTCCAGTCATAGGATTTATTTCAGAATTTACTTTTGGGATTGTCTCTAGTCTAGGAGAGTGATGTTGCCCTTTTAATCAGTAATCTGATCCCCAGCTCGGTGTCAGTGACGTTCTGATCTTCTACTTCATTTTCAGTGGCAAATGAACCAAACTCTTGTGCTGGCAAATCATCTTTATTTTACTCGACTAACCTCATCTGCAATATTGCCAAGTGATTCACTCATTTTGTGCACAGTAGTAATACCCCATACGGTAGTACTTAAATATTATGAATGTATAAGAAAAAATATTATAATTAATGAAAATAACAGTAAAGTTATCAGTAAGAATTAATTGTAAAATAGTAGGTATATTATGAAAGACTAACGCTTTCCTTGTTTCAGTTTATATATGGTTATTCTTATCAGAATCTACATCTCATCAACAATGTGCTTTATGGTGTCAATATTAATGTTATCGGAACCTGGTGCCTTGTAAGTTTTGAGTGAATTGATTATGTTTTTAATTTCTTTTTCCTCTACAAATTCTAGGAAAAAGTTGTAAGGATTAGGATTTGGAGTGTTTGGTTTTATAATGCGTTTTGCGTGTAGCTCGCCGACATTTACAAAATAGCTGTTATATTTGCCACAATTTTTTTAATCTTTTACTGTACTATATTCATCATCAAATATTTCTTCTATATCTAACGTTCTATTGCTATTATTGATTTGTTTAATTGTATCCACATACTTTGATTACTATACGAGGCAAGAGAGAGGTCCGACACGCCCAACATAGAGCGCGGCCATTTTGAACCCTGTGACACAGTTTACAGCTAAAGAATCAGATCGCTCACTCTGCGTCGGCACTTTGGATCTCAATGTTTCAGTTTATACACTGTGCAACTCGGATAATACAATATATGACAAGCGCCTATAATAAAACAGTAGTCTTATGCGTATCCTGAATTTGTATCCCTGGAGTGGATGTTATTTTGGAACTTTCAACTGGTCCGAGTGAGCTAACTGATTCTTTAGCAATAAACTGTGACTTCAAAAATAATATTCACTGACACTGACAGCAGCAAGCAAAATATCAGGTGCGTTTTAATCATCCACTTCTGCTTCCGGAATTGTCGGTTTAGTCGTTTTAACCTGTCAAATTAAAACAAGAAAACTGACGATTCCGAAGTAGAAGCGGATGATTAAAACGCACCTATTAAAAATATTACGCCAAGATGTAGGCAACCCGTAATAAGGGTTCAAAATGGCGGAGTTTTCTATCTCCTTTTAAAAGGCACTCAGAAAGCTGCGCAGTGCGACTAAAATCAAAGTATGTGATTGTATCCCACAACCCCTTTGAGTTATTTTTATGTTTATTTATTTCTATAGGTACGAATATTTATTATAGAACCAGAGCTCACTAACTTTTATATTCACAGTTTCCAAATCTTAAAAGACTGCCCTGTATAGCCACAAAATGTCAGTGGAATTCCGCAAAAAAATCAAACATAAGATTTCTCGTTTAGAAATTAGACCCGATAAATCCAAATGGGCAATTCTGCGAGATCCTGAGAGAGATGTCGTCCCATAAAAGTTCGTCTTCGGTTGTAGACAATTGCTGAATTGGCCATCGTGTCCCGGACGACAACTTCTTCAAGCCAAAACCCGACGATTCCAATTGCTTTCAGACAAACACTCATCCCATCCTATACCATGTTGGGTTGGATTGGCAGACAAAACGAACTGCTCAACTATTGCAAACGAACGAACGAACGAATTGCGGCCTCTCCTCCTAATTTTCAATCTCTTTCTGTGTTCATGTTTTCAATTAAACGATTCCCGTGTAATTGAAATCTCTGGAACATAGGTAGGATTTACTTGGAATTAGTTTTCGGCCGAAGCGGATTGAGAATTCGAGGGATTATCTAGTTTTCGACGATGGATCGAGCTATTTTTATATAACGGGTGAGTATATAGTGATATGGACATTTCTGCGTATACTCGCCTCGGATATTGGCTATAAGATCAAGAAAATCAATCAAAATCATTTAATTAGTTCGTTAACAGTACATGACTTTGTGAACACGTCTGTTAAATATTTACATATCTTAAAACTAGTAATGTATGGAATTTTACTATGTATTATAATATTGACTGACAAAAAGTACATTATTTATAACTAATTAAATATTAGTTTTGATGTCGTTTTACATTTATGTCGAACATTCCAGATATTTTTGTCTATAGACGACTAGTTTTTCTTATTACAAATACCTATTACTAAATTTAGTCTGGAGCAAAGCTATGTTTATTCCAAAGAAGCTTCTAACAAATCAAAAGCGGTTTGATCAATTATTAATGATGACTTAAATAATAAGTCACGAAATTCTGCTGAAATCTATGATTCCTGTCACATAGCAAATTCATTTAATAACTTTTTTGTAAATGCATCTACCAGGTTATTACAAAATTATG